ATGTTTTCAATTTGTACATATGTTTTTTAGATCTATTTTGATACTAAGATACTATCATCAAGGGCATGTTTTTATTTTTGGAAATATAAAACTTGCAAGAGTTTTTCCCTTTTTACTTTCAAACTGGGCAACAACTGCGTATTATATTCTCTAAGCTTTGGACCACAATTTTACAAAAATCCTTGTGTCTCTCCCCACCCAAAAAAAGTCTTCATCTCTTTATCTGACATATCAGATGTATATCATTTATTTATTTGTCTTTATCTCCCCTCTAAAACTTAATTCTCTGAGAGGATGCTATGAGTGGTGGTGGTTGGGAAATGGGAAAAATGATTATATAAAATGCAATGTATCATCTGCCATGGTGATATAGCAGCACACCTGGATAGAAAAGCTTGGAACAGATACAATAATAGGGGCATGACTCCATTTAAACAGCTTTCTGAACAGCTGTAATTGTGGAGGCATTTCACTCAAGTGGGAAATAGAGCGAAAGAAGACACATTTTTAACAATTTATACCCAAATGCCAGAGAGTTGATTGAAGATGCTGTCTATGCCGAGGTTTGGCCACGCAGAGGTTAAATACAGGACAAGATCCAAAGTAGCAGGGCAAGATTTTCCTGCAATGGAAACACACACACACACACACACACACACACACACATACACACACACACACACACACACACACACGTTGCCAAAGTGTGGCTGTGAATGTAATAGTAATACTGGTGATATTAAGAAGTTAAAGCTAAAATGTGGTTTTTTTTTTCCTCATCAGGAGAAATATGGTAGGAGAAAAATCGTATTACAGATGGGAATGCTATGGTGTCATGAAAACCGCTGTAGGCAAGGCATTTTGCTGGTAGATTAATATAGCTGTCTGGAAGTGTACAACGTGTGTTTGTCTGTGGTGAAAAATTAATTGGCCTTAGGTTCCTGCAGCATGAGCATGAGGCAAAATAGACATGAATAGATGTGATTGCTATACATGAGACACATATTATTTATTTCATAGAAGTGAAAGCATCTCTAGGGATGTGACACAGAAACCACTGCATTTTGCTAGAACATGTCCATCAATAAAGTAAACTGGGATAAGGATTGATATAGTTTTTAACCATTTTCCACTGCCTTATCTTTCCAAGAGTACTTTCTAAGGATACAGATTATAATAATAATAGTAATGTAGTAGTAATAGTAATAATAATAATAACAACAACAACAATAAAGTTGGAAAGGACCTTGGAGGTCATCTAGTCCAACCCCCTGCTCAGGCAGGTAACCCTATACCCTATACCATTTCAGACAAATAGCTGTCCAGTCTCTTCTTAAAACTTCCAGTGTTGGAGCATTCACCGCTTCTGGAGGCAGGTTGTTCCACTGGTTAATTGTTCTAACTGTCAGGAAATTTCTCCTTAGTTCCAGGTTGCTTCTCTCTTGGTTAGTTTCCATCTGTTGCTTCTTGTCCTGCCTTCAGGCACTTTGGAAAATAGCTTGACTCCCTCTTCTTTGTGGCAGCCCCTGAAATTATGATAATGTATTAATTATTCATAATTAATAATTCATTAATAATGGAAAATGGAGTACATAGTTGAGTGTTTAGTAAAATGCAGTAATCAAATACACAATCCTTATCTCTTTCCCGTAATAAGAGTCACTCAACAGTGAGATTGGAATGGGACAACTCGCTGGAGCCAAATCATTGTGGCCAACTTGTCACTGCCAACTTGCCACGGCCAATTCACCATAGCCAGCTCATTTTGGGACAACTTGCCATGGCCAATTTGCTATGGGACAAATTGCCGCAGGACAATTTAACAATTCAATTTAATTATTTAAAAAATAATAATTTTTATCATTCACATTTCATTCTGTCCCTTCTTTTGCATCCTTTCTTTAATGATTCTGTTCCACCATTTTTTTGATATTAGTGTAACTCTTGTCCTGCAGCAAGTTGTCCCATGGCGAGTTAGCCACAGCGAGTTGTCCCATAGTGAGTTGGCCACAGGAAATTGTCCCATGGTGAGTTGGCCATGATGAATTGTCATAGACCTCAGTGAGAGGGGCAGCATATATATTTAATAAATAAATAAAAATAAGGATTTTATTTCGGACCACTCAAAAACTGGTAATGGGAACCCTGAAATTGTGTCTGCACCATGAAAAGGAATCTAGAATCAGATCAGATCTAGATTTAACAAACCAAAAGTAAAAGACTAACTTGTATCTGGATTCCAACAGAAGAAAATGTGTGTAGCCCAGGGTTGAACTGTTGGGTTCTTTTGTTATCTCTGAGCTTGGATGCTTTCTCGTAGACCTTTTATTACCAGGCTACGTAGCATCATTAACGTGAGGGACCATGAAGTTTACTGGTTATTCATATATGATAGTTTGCCCTGCTAGTCTTGGTGCAGGTATGGTTTTCTTCTTGATGGTCCCTTGATTAAACTATCGTATATTCCGGTGTATAATGCGACTGGGCATATAAGACGACCCCCAACTTTTGAGAAGATTTTCAGGGTTTAGAAAGTTATCTTATACGCCAGAAAATACAGTACAATATTGAATTTCTGTTTATAGATGAGCACAATAGGAGCTCCTTTGCTGCTAGAAAGCTTTGTCCTGTTAGTGCTTATTTCTGTAAAAAAAATAGGGCTGGCCACTAGGGGGCAGATTGGTTTTAAATTCAGAGCACAGCTACCCGTATATTCCTGCGTATAAGATGACCCCTGACTTTTGAGAAGATTTTCAGGGTTTAGAAAGTCGTCTTATACACCGGAAAATACGGTATTGTTTTTTCCATGATTGTTTGTCTGGTTTTGTTTCATGCTTATCTGAGTTTTGGCCACTGGAAGAGATATATCTAGGCTGTTTGCTAGGCTTCTGATTGTATCTTTTAAATGATATACCAGTATAAATGGGATTTATGTCTATAGGTATATTGATCACTGATTTGTCTAAAAGCCAAGCTTTCAGAAATTCTCTAGCATTTTTGGATTTGGCTTAATCTAAAATTTTACCACTTTCCCAGCTGAAACTGTGGCTGAGTTTGTCCAGGTTTAAGTGACTTTTAACATTTCTTTTGGCTGCCAGTTGGTGCTCATGAATGTGGTCTGACAATCTGGGTTGGTTTGTAATATTTCAGGCTGTAGATTGTACAGACCAGTGATGGCGAACCTTTTAGAGACCGAGTGCCCAAACTACAACCCAAAACCCACTTATGTATCATCGGGTGTTGGGTGGGCATAGCCCATTGGGTGGGCATGGCCCACTGGGTGGGCATGGCTGCGGTAGTAACGGCAGACTGGATGGGACTAAAAAGTTCAATCAATCAATTCCAATTTTGCGAGATCTTTTTTTTCCCACAAGAAGTTGAAATTGATTCATTGATTGAACCTTTTTTTTTTTTTTTGCACACGGCAGTGGAGGCCTAAAGCAAAAAGGTTTTATAAAACCCAGCTGAAGGCCTAGGACTGGAGCGATGGCACACATGCCCACAGAGAAGGCTGTGCGTGCCACCTGTGGCACACGTGCCATAGGTTCGCCATCACGGGTATAGACTGTCTGCTTCTCCATTTTGTCTGCCCTTTTTAATTTTCTCAAGGAAGTAAACACTTTGGAACAAGTTAGTTGCTGCAATGCATCTTTGTCCTCAGAATATTTTCTTGTTTTCATAGCGTACTACTATTAGAATACCCTTTTAACAATAGAAGGTTCTCTTACATTCCATCAAGACCCATCTTGTTGCTGATGTCTGCTGGAATGTGCCTTGTACAACAAGGTCTTGAAGTAGCTCCATCCATGCACAGTAGCTTCCTCTGGGAGTTAACTCATCTTCAGATGTAGACAAAGGACTTCAAAGACATGCTATATATTTGCACTGAGCAATACTCACTAGAGTGTTTGTATATTGAACCTATGTGGCTGCACATTTCTTATTATAGCAGAGTTTTGTCTGTTCCAACTTCTTACTTTTTATAAGGTAATTTTTATATCCTAATGCCTTCTCAACGTGTTAGACTACTTTCCAGTATTCCCACCTGGAGAAGATTGTTTTCTATTATGATGTAGCCCACTTCTGCAAATATTTCCTTTCTCTTCCAGAGCTCTGTGGTAGTTCTTGTGAACAATAAGAGGCCCACATCTTTCCATGTGTTTGCCAGACAGATAAAATATCTGTTGTCATTTCAGAAGCCAATCCTTTTTATGATAATTGCTCATGAATGAGATCAGAGCCAGACTCCAGACGGGAGCAAGTGCTTCCAAGAGCCACAGCTCACCTTTACATCCTTCTAACCACTGCACTGATTGCCTCAGTGACAGCTACAGCTTCCTCTTAAGGAAGAAAATAGTGAATTAGAGGCCAGGTGTAAAAGTCCCAATCCTGCAGAAAGCAGCCACCTGCCACCATCTTTAGCTGGTACAGGCATTTTTTAAAAAAACAATCTCATTGCTACTGGAGGGAAGGCCAGGTGTGACACAGCTAATCTTGGGATGTTTTCTCTTTCCTCCTTCATCAGTGGCAGCTGTCTGAGAATTAATTCTGCCAGAAGAGGAATTTGACAAGGTGTCATTGATCACAGACTAAGGCTTTTGTTCACTTCTTTGAATACCCTAATTGCCTAAGTAATTTGTCTCGTTATAAGGAGGGATGGTTGACATAAGCTGATTTGGTAGGTTTGAGTCATTTCCTGCTGATGTTTCTAATCTGAATGTCTCAGGAGTGATAGCACTGTATATCTGAACAGACCTAGAAGATCTTCCTTCTATATCAGCTGTAGTGATAGATTCCTGTACACAGGAAGGTGGACTGGAGTATCTCATTCAACTCTTGCATTCTATTATTATCAACCAATTTTTGCAAAACCTTTGTATTTGGCACTGGTATCATTTGGAATCATCAGGCCAAAAGTACATATGTTTCTTTGGTCCTTTACAAATGACATCCTACTTAATCTTTATTTTGTTTGCATTTTCCCTTTTTTTAAATTACAGGTAGAAGATCAAGGTGTTCACGGGTGGTTTTCTAAAAGGTATAGTCATGACAGAACTGGAAGAGCCCCAAAACCAAATGTAACAAGCCATGTTCTGCCTTGGAATGAGGAGGTAAGTGATGCTTTGGCTCAGCACAACTACCAGGAATGCTTTGGTTGCCAATACACTTCTGATGGTTGTTGTTTACAAAGCCCTATATGGTTTGATACTTGGTCATCCAACACCGGCTTCCCAACATGAAGTTAAAAGCCCTTCCCATGTCAGATTTGAGGATGGAAGCAAGGGAACAATGTTTCTCAATCATGCCTATGGAATACTTTATTGCAAAAAGATAGAACCTCTGGCTTTTAGAAGGATGATTCAAAATGGAGAACATTTGGCAGCTCATGTGGATAAGCTTGATAAGAGAGGGGACATTATTGCTATAAGTTTTACTGTATGTTGTGGAATTTGTTTTTTATTGGATTCTGTGTAAACCAGTTAGAGGCCTATATGGAGTTAGTGGCATACAAATGCTATGATGTTGTCTACGCCCTCAGCTTTTATTCTGGAATTGGTTGGTAGACTCTCAGGCACAGCATGGCTAGTATAGATATCTTATTATTGATACGTATGAGGCTAAGTATAATAGATCCCTTTATTCAATACACAGCACGCAAAGCCAGTATGTATGTACCAGAATTTAAATTCTAACCTTTTTCATTCTGTATTTGGTTCCTGCTATGCCAGTATCATTCCCATCAAGAGGGAGAGAAGACAATTTGGAGTTGATGATTTTGCAGGGGGAACATTTAGAAAGTATTATTAAATGAAACATTGAGATCATTGAATTGTTGGAGCTAACCAAAATCATGGTTTGCTGAATTAGCCAAAGCAGTCTGGTTTGTAAATAATACTAAGCCACAATAGCTCCAAAATCACATCAGCCTAATCATCTGATGGCTTAGTGTTTTGTGTGTAACAGCATGATGCAATCCACTGAAATTAATGGGAAGTGTAAACTAAATTAGAATATTTGCTCTGTTTCTATTCTGATGCTTCGTAGAAGTTTCATAATGAATTTCAGCATTTGATGTCAAGCTTATGTTCTCTGCCAAAAGGTTGTAACAGCCTGTGAATAGACTAATTATTGGCTGAGGAGACCATTGTTTTATGAAATGATCTTACAATAATTGAACCTTTCCTGAAGGTTTATGTTCATAGCGGCTAAACAATGTTTTTAAATGTTGCCAGGGAGTTTCTACAATTAATTCAGGCAAATAAATAAGATTTAATTGATTCAGTTCCCTCCCGTTTGATCCGGCTCATCTCCTGCTGAATCTTTAGCTGAGATTTATTTACAGGATTTGGAGTGGCTGCCATTGTGACAGGAAAATACACAGAGAGGCTGTTGTTAGATATGCATCCCACTGGGATTGGCCCATCCCACCTGTGCTGACAGAAGAGGCATCCTGTGGGCCCCATTGGCCCGATTATTCTGACAGGGGGGGTTCCAGGAAAAGGGTCTTCTCTGCCATTGCATCTGTAAGACACCCAGAGTTACCCTATGTAAGATGGGCATCCAATAAATTTTATAAATAAATTTAGGTGACTGGAAAAATAGGAGAAAAAGTGCTCAAGGGAAAATGCTGCAGGCAGATTACCAAGGGAATCTGGAAGCTGCATTACAAATTATCAAAATCTTCAGTAAATAGCCAAATAGAAGTCTGGGGTGTGTTATGATGGATAATACATTTAGTTTCTCATTTTATTAAGTACTTAGGTTTGCACAGGAGTCTGATCGGCATTTTACATTAACTTCATGCAAAATAACATTGTCATGATGTGCATTGTATTTATTGAAGCATCAGTTCTAAAACACTGACTTTTCATGAGAAGATACATTGTTGGGCTATATACGGGATTTTCTTTAATATTGTTCCATCTCAGCCATATTTTTTTTCCATACCCTCAGCACCTATGACTTTAATGAAGCGTGTGATCCAGTCTTCTATTTCAAGTATCACAATGATACTTGGGGAACAGCAGCTGAGAATGTGCTAGCTTGAATGCAAGAAGCAAGGACATTATTAATCACTGCTTGGATGAGATTATCATTGCAACAGAGATGTTAAGAAAGGGAAAGTCCCATTTTCAGCAAGATTGTGGATTCAGGAATTGCTATGCTGTAGCTTGTAATTGTGAATGGTGGATGTGGGTTGACTTCAGTGACCTCTGAGCTTGACCCCTTCAGCCGCAGATGCCAACATTCTTGGAATCAAATATTAGCAATATTATTTGTAGTAGCAAGAGTTTTTTCAGTTTCAGGAGGAAATGGGAAAAAAGGTTTTCTCAGTAGAATCATCTCTATAAATAGACTTTTGTATGACTTTTTCTATTCACTTCCTTTAGGAGAAACATGGGTTGTCAAGAGGAGCAGGGCCATCTCTGAGTGACCACCAAGCCATTGGCACCATCTCATTTTGATTTTAAGAAACTATTGAATAACATTTTATCTTTTCATAGTCTTTTAAACATAATTTTACATTGTTTCTGTTGCATCTGAAACACTGGGTATTGGTTTATACTTGGATGTTTTCAAAATCTATTTATAAATATTTTTTAAAAAATTCAAAAGGAAGATAAAAATTTAAAGCAAGTAAAAAATCAACAAAAATTTTAAAGCAAGAAAGAAAAACAAGCAAAAAAAGAGAGAAAAGACATACAAAGAACTGAGTGCCAATCTTCTTTACAGCAGTTATAAGTACAATTATAAATTTACTTCTTACTCTATGATTACAACATGCCCCTCTTCTTTCTATAATCTGCTCACTTGTTGTAAATTCATTTTTTTCTATTTTACACAAAAATCCATAAGGGTTTTCCAGTCAGGAATAAATGTTGATACTGTCTTTTCTCTGATTTAAAAAAAACAACAACACAAATTTAGCCATTTCAGCAAGTTCCATCATCTTCATCAGCCATTTCTCATTGTGGGTGGTATCGAATCTTTTCATTTTTATGTGCACCACAATCTTGCTGCAGTTATCATAAATGGAAACAAAGTTCCATTACTTTTTTTTCTAACTGTTTATCCACAAATACCCAAGGGGGGGGGGGGGAACTGGTTTCAGTTGTACAATAATCTTTAAAATCCTCTGAATTAGTGTGTGTATTTGAATCCCAATTTTTCTACCTGATAAAATGTCTCTTCTTGTTCACACTTCCAATATAAATTTAATGTATTTTTATACATTATAGGCAATTTCTCTGGTGATATATCAAGGATTTTTTTTCAAAAAGGGGAATAAGTTATATTTTGGTTTTGTTCCAAGTTATTTTGATGGATTAATATATGTTAAGAAGGGTAAGAAATTTTAAACAATCATATGTCTAAAGGACCTCTATAAAAATGGGATATCCATTTTACATGGAACCTCACTAAAATGGTAGAGTTCCTATCTTATAACTTCTGGAAATATATGTCAAATAACATTCAGATGGTACTAATTAGAGGTGATAGCTTCTTTTTTTCTAGTATCAGTGGGTAAAATAGCAGAGAGCCATTTCTGAGTAGCATGGAACTTTTCTATTCTCTATGTTTCTCATTCATGTAAGGCTGCTAGCTTTCAAGGTGCATAACATACGTGTCTATCCATGACAGACCCCTATTTCACTGGGCTCTATATTGCTCCAGAAGACTCATAAAGATCATTTATTTGAAAGTGCCTTCAAGCAAAATTCTTTATGTTCAAGAATGCCTGGATGTGATAGAGAAGAAATACAATGCTAACTTCTCCCTGTTACGCAATTTACATGAGTTGTTGTTGGTATTATTATTTTAAATTTATTGGTCACCAACTCCAATGAACTCTGTGCAGCACACAACACTAGAAAAATCCCTATTAAAGCAGAGTTCACAAATATTGGGTTTCCATGGGCTAACTAGGTGGCCCCAAACTTTCTAAATAAACTTTCTTTTCCATCCAATAATTGTTATAATCTTGCTAATGCAAGGCATTAATAAAAGTACATTTTTATTGTGTCTTTAGTATGCTATCATATTTTATAAACTAGAATTGCTATAGGGGAAACTAATAGTAATAATGAAAGAATAAATAAAGTCTTAAGTTGGTGGCCATGCTTAACTAGCAGAATGAGCCTCAGAGGATAGAAAGAAATTACAAAATAATTAGAGAAACATGGGATGGAGATATGCATCTAGGACAGTGATGGCGAACCTTTTAGAGACTGAGTGCCCAAACTGCAACCCCAAACTCACTTATGCATTGTCGAGTGCCGGGTGGGTGTGGCCCAGTGGGTGGGCGTGGCTGCGGTGGTAACGGCAGACTGGATGGGACTGAAAAGTTCAATCAGTTCCAACTTTGCAAGATCTTTTTTTTTTCCCGGAGAGGTGACAGAGCCCTAAAGCGAAAAGGTTTTATAAAACCCAGCTGAAGGCCTAGGACTGGGGCGACAGCATGCGTGCCCACAGAGAGGGCTCTCAGTGCCGCCTTTGGCACCCGTGCCATAGGTTCGTCACCACTGATCTAGTATATGTGTTCGCCATAGACTTTAACCCTGGCAATAAGAAGCTTGATGTGAGTTAAGATTCTCTAACAGGAAATTCTTGACCTTCTTATAAAACGGTAATCCCCATAAAACTTTGAGGTTACTGTACTATAATAATGTTTTGGTTTAATACCATTATCTGTTTGGATTTGGTTTTTCCAGTGGACTTGTGTTGATTAACAGCTTGGGAAATATGCAGAAATTGCCAGATATCTTGCTTTTGCTGGACAGACTTCCTCTTTTTAGCCAAGAAAAATTTTGGATGGTACAATTGAGGTGGCTTGATGATCAGATATGCTTAGTACCAATATTGGCTTGGATAATGTTAAAGTGTAGCTGTCAGCAGTAGAAAGAAGCCATTACTGTTCATGTAGCTGTGACCACGTGAGTGGTAATATGCAGGTAGCCTCCTGCAGTTCTAAGGAGGGAGGCAGGGCTGTTCAAGGTTAAAACTGGTGCATGGATCTGTATTATAACTCATTGGCTGAAACTACTGTTCTTCTGTAGATCTGAATTCTTTCCTTTTGTATACTATAACTATAAATCAACATGGATTAGAGCTATTTTATTAAAACTCTAACATCTCAGCCTCTCCAAGGAGGAGTTCCTAATGATGGGCTATGAGCAGGCACTTAGTGCATCTAAACAAAGTATTAAGGATCAGGAAGTTCAACAAGACATGTCTGCTAGCAGGGATTCTTAACCTTGGCAACTTTAAAACTTGTGGACTTCAACTCCCAGAATTCCTCAGCCAGCAAAGCTGGCTGAGGAATTCTGGGAGTTGAAGTCCACAAGTCTTAAAGTTGCCAAGGTTGAGAACCCCTGCACTACTGGTTAGAACTGAGAGGCCATAATATGCTCCAATAATTGATCAAATATGTCAAGTTGCAATTGGCTGTCTGAAAATTTGTTTTCACCTCTCCTTTGCTCAGGGCTGGAGACCTCTAAGTTTTCAAAATGGCATTACTGATTTCTAAGATCTAAATACCTAGCCCATCTTTAGGCTAATATCACAAGCCAGTAGGCAAGTGATTGCTCTATTTTTGCCTACCTGGAGAATACATTTTGATGTATTCTGCAACTGTTCACATTCCACATTCTTTTATTATAGTTAAGGGGTCTTTTTGTCTAAAGTCAGATCTTTCAGTTATTCAGTTATTTATTTGCTGATAAATAAATGGCTTCAATTTTTTTTTAAAAAAAAATAGATATACATTAATATTTATCCTTTAAGGAATCTCAGATTTATCCCAAGTACATTTTATTTAACATATTTATAACTTGCCTACAATGCAGAGGATCTTGAGTGGTTTATACTGCATAATGCATTGTACTGATAAAGGAGAATATTTGTAGTTCAGGGTTGAAACGGGGGGTCTTTGGTGCTCTCTGAGCTTGGTTGTTTTCTTGCAGACATTTTGTTATCCAAACTAGGTAACATCATCAGTACTAGTAAGGAATGGCTCTCAATTTATATTCTAGTGATTTGCCCTGTCAGTGTTGGTGGGAATTATCTTGGAGGTTCTTTGGTTGAGCTTTTACTGCTACCTTGTTTGACAGTTCCTTGATAGGGGCATTGTTTACTTCTTGATTGTTGGTCTGATGTTAATCTGATGCTAACATCATTAATCTGATGTTAGTCTATCCATTTTGTTGGAAGATGTTGTACAGATGACCTGTTTCCTTTTTCTGCTGCTCAGGATTGCTGCACTGTGTTTGTCTTATCTGAATAGAGTTCTTACACAAGAACAAGCCAAGTACAAAAACAGTAGAGAAGTTCTGGAAGCCTGTCACTCAGACAAATTGGCCATCAACAGACACAATACGTACCGGTATAAACAATATCTACCTACTCTGCAGAAGAGACAATCAACAAGCCAAAAGAGAACAAAAAGACCCAAGCATCTCACCACCAGCAATCAACACCTGGATGAACATAGATTAACATCAGACCAACAATCAAGAAGTAACAATATCCCAGTCAAGGAACTGCCAAATAAGCTAACACTAAATAGCCCAACCAAAGATCCTCCAAAACCACTCCCACCAATGCTGACAGGGCAGGCCATTAGAATATAAACTGGGAGCAAACCCCACTCCTTACTAGCACTGATGATGTTACCTACATTGAGTAATGAAAAATCTGCAAAAAAACCAACCAAGCTCCAAGACCAAGGACCTCTCATAATGTATTGTGTTCATCAGTAAGTGCCCAGTAATATTTACCATGTAAAATATGGAGTGATGCTCCATTTTTTAAATGACATTCATAGACTTCCTTTTTTGCTAATTGATGAATATTATTAATAACTTAGGTGTCTACCTGGTAAAAGAAATACATATTAACCTCATATTTAAGAACTCCCATAACCATTTAATATTGTTTTGGATGGTACAAGCTAAAATCCAACATTTTTGATAAATCAGGTTCTTTATTCTTATTTTTTACATACCCATACCTGCATACCTATACATACACCGTATGTCACAAAATTGCCTGAGAATTTATGTATAGCCTAAGTCAGACATGTCAAACTCGCGAGGTCACGTGACATCGCGCAACGTATTGGGAAAGTTTTGCCATTGCCGGCAATGGAGTGGGTGCAGCTTCCACATGACGTTTCTGGCCCACGGGCTGGCAGTTTGACATCTTTGGCCTAAGTGATGCCATTTTATTTGCAGTACAAAGGGAGAGCAAACCTGCATGTATTTGAAGATTGGTGTGGAGGAGCTGTGGGACATCTAAGGAAAAATCTGCATTTCCCCCTATATCCTCATGTAAGTATAATCTATTCTCCAATAAGATGCCAGTGTTTCATAGCTTCCAAAAGAGTGCTTCCTCTCTTTTTCTATGCAGTAAATATTCTTAAGCCCTTCTGAAGTGAATTTACATTTTGTTAAGTGTAATTTGGCTTTATCTGAATGTTAATGAATGCCAGATAGTAATATCTTTCATTTAAGACAGTGTTTCCCAAACTTGACAATTTTAAGGCATGTGGACTTCAACTCCCAGAATTCCACAGCCAGCGTTGCTGGCTGTGGAATTCTGGGAGTTGAAGTCCTCATGCCTTAAAATTGTCAAGTTTGGGAAACACTGATTTAAGAGTATTTACCATTCATTCATTCATTCATTCATTCATTCATTCATTCATTCACAGCATTTATAAACAGTTCCTATCATTCCGACTCTTTGTATACAACAAAGTAAGAAAAATCAAAGTGTACAAAAGTAAAATAATCACAGTCAGTCTTTTCTCTCAGGTCCCATCATGATTTGCTGGGCTACAGTTTCTCCTAATTAAAGATTGTGCTGTCCAGACATCATTTGAGTTGTAGTTCAGTACAACCCAAGGACATAAAATTGAGTAAGAATGTAGTCTGTACAGCTTCCTGTCCCCATGACTGTGGCCAAGGAATTCCCACTGGTTTAGGACTGACCAAATATGGGAACTCTCACAAAATTAGAATCTGATAGAGGAAGTTATACAGTAGAGTGTGGGAAGATTAGCAGTACAATTGAAATTCCCACTTGGCTTCATTTATTATTACAAATGATGCTTTTAGATTCTTACAATAGGCACTTTGCTGGATGAGTGAATGAATTTTATAGCCAAAGGCCAGCAATGTAAAAGGGCTTAGAAGAGGAAAACATCAAGACAATTGTGCAACACATAATAAAGCAGACAGTAACACTAAAGTAATAGGACATTATTTACTATATCTGGAGAGAAAGTTTAACTGGCATTCTCTCATTTTGCTAATGTTTTGTGTAATGCTTTGATTTTGCACAATGCATAGGAGAAGCTCATATATATAAATTCTGTTTTCCAGTGTGTGCTATCACAGTGAATACAATTGGATAGCATTTCTCCAACATTCCACTTTCCCAGTGTGAAATGGAATGTTACATGCAAAGAACTTCTTTTTGTCCTTTCTATCTTGTAGACTCGTACAACAGTAAAAAAGTTGGCTGTGTCACCCAAGTGGAAAAATTATGGGCTACGTATTTTTGGCTACATTCATCCCTTCAAAGATGGTGAGTACAATAAATTCTCCTTCGAGGGCAGAGCTTCTTTTCTGGAGTTTCTCTCCCCTAGCTTCCTGCCAGAATATTTTTATTCAAAAAATCCCCTATTATTGTCTTTCTCCCACAGTCTCACCCTGGGCATTGTTGTGCAGCTTCAGAAGAAGCCAGATTACCTAAGTAATGATTGTAACACATTTTGCTCCTCACTGCCCTTCTCAGGTCACAAGTTACATGCCTTCAGAAAGCTTATGAGATTTATGAGTAAAGTATTTCTTTCTCCTCCCTTCTTAAAAATAAACAAACAATGAGGCACTGCCGCTCCAGTTTTTTGAGATCAGACAGTAGCATTTAAGAACACATGGTACTAAATTGCAGGTAGCCTGCCAGGACAGGAAACAAATTTATATGTCAACTTTCCTGCTCTTATTAGCTAAATTATCTTTCCTTGTCTTATAGGAGATTTTCAGTTTTCTGTAGCTTCGGATGATAATTCTGAATTTTGGCTCAGCTCTGATGAGACTCCAGCCAATATACGTCTGGTGGCGTTTGTGGGCAAGGTGGGCAACTTCTGATAATAAGATAATGATAAAGGTATCGTAGCAGCTTTCCATGGGTTGATGTGTTTCTTATAGCCTTCTTACAAATAGTACCATTTGGCATCATCTCTTTGGTTCCTTACTGAGAGAGTTAAATGTAAATGAAATTGTAGTGTTGCCACTGGGAGACATATAAACATTGAACCAACTCAGCTGTGAGTTTTACATCTGGAGGCTGCATAATTAAAACCTGGATCTATTGTACGAAATTCAAATGTGTGTGTTTGAGGGTCTGTTTGAAATTCTCACATGTTGCAATAGTGATATTTTATATGCAAGTCCCCTTCTGCTCCTGTGGTTCACAGCTTGAGTCCATTTGGTTTCTTCACTAACACCACTTTGCATTGTAGGTCTCTTGTCTATGGCTATAGCACAAGGTTTATGCTTATATCTCTCAGTTCATTTAGAGTGAAAATAGAGTTCTCATTTCCATTTCCATAGAGTCTATTTACCTCTATGTCAGAGAGTAAAGAAATGCTGGAAATAAGGCAATTTTTCCCATATAAAGGAGGAAGTTTGCAGTTTGATTTCAAGCAAAATGCTTTGGTTTATTGAGTTGGTTAATTAGTTATTACATTTATTTATGCACTGCCAAGTTCCTAGATTCTGGATGGTTTACAAATTAACTATCGTAGAAGCATTATATAAAATTCCAAACAGTTACTCTGTCCAATTGCCAGATCAAACCATCATAACCCAAGCCACCAATCAAATAAAAATAAAGCAGGAGCCCAGTGTCACAATAAAATAAAAGTTTAATAAAGCACACATTTTTTAAAAAACAATTAAACAAAATAATACTGGCGGCCTGGAGAAAGGTCCGAATTTGAGGTTAAATTATTCCATAGCATTAAGGCTACCCAAAACAGCTTCTGGATCCATGACCCCTTAACTTGTCAGGGCCCTCAGCATCCGTTCCCTGCATGCTTGTATAGGTTGGGGAACATCCAATTAGGAGAGACAAGTCCTCAAATAACCTAAAACCAAGTCACAAAAGGCATTACAGATTTAGGACAAAAAATCGAATTGGCTCTGGAAAACTAATAGTAACCACAACTTCACATTACAATTACATTTCTCACATATTACGAACCAGGCTACTGCATTTTTACCAATTGAATTTTACAGTTAGAGATAACTCCTGGAAGAGCATATTACAGTCATTTAATTGTTGGGTGTGATTACTATTGGTACAGTTTCTTTATCCAGGAAAGGCTGCAAATGGCACATCAATTTCAGATGGACAAGCTCTCCTTTGGTCATGGTTTCTATCTCCTGTTCTAGTAAGACCTGAAGTTTTCAGGAAATTGCCTAATCCACAGATCTTCCCCTTCAAAGGAGAGTGTAACCTCTTCAGATGTGTTAAAGCAGCGGTTCCCAACCTGTGGGTCGCGACCCCATTGGGGGTCGAACGACCATTTCACGGGGGTCGCCAAACAACACGATCCGCCATTTTTTCCGCCATTTTTTCCCCTTTTCCTTAGCTGTGCTACTCCCTCTTATTCTATTGGCTTTCGAAAGCCAATAGAATAGACTCTCTTGAACAGAGTCTAATTCTATTGGCTTTCAAAAGCCAATAGGAATTGCCCAGGGCTGTCTCTGCCCTGCTGAGCCCGCCAAAAGCCCCAGTCTGCAAACAGTGCTGCAAGGGGAACAGTCTGCAGAGCTTCCCTTCCTGTTGAGCAACTAAAAAGTAAGTAAAAGAGGGCCGGGGGTGGGAGGCCGGTGGGTGCAGGGAGGGTTGCTGGCACACGTGGGGCCCGGCAGGTGCCTTACCTGCCTTGGGCTGGGCCAGCTGGTGGCCCAGCCGGTGGTCACCCTGCGCCGCCGCTGCCGCGGCCGCCCGGGAGCATCCGGGCCTGCCTGCCACCACCCCTTGCAAGCTATGCCTCAGCTGGCGCAGGGGGCGGCACCGCACATGCGCGCCACGCCGCACATGCATGCCGTGCAGGGGGCGGTGCCGCACATGCGCACCGCGTGCTTATGACCGGGGTCGCCAGTATAAAAAGGTTGAGAACCACTGTGTTAAAGGATCAAGAATAAAGCAGGATTCAGTCTGAGCTAACAAGTCCACAATAGCTCCGTAGCATTAGGCAAAGACTTTACCAATAGCACCTCTGATCTGGCCTATGATGATTTTATGTAACTGGGTATCATCAGCAGTGGCTGTTGAAGGATCTGAAGGAGGGCGTATATCTGGCAGAACTACCTTGCCTTCTTTCTCTGATCAGGTTTTAGTGATGCATGCTGAGTCTGCCCATTCATGTGCTTCAAGGTCATGAATGAAAGAGGTCTTATTACGAACAGACTTGATATTTTCTAAGATCAGCCTGAGGCTAAGACATCCAGAAATCTAACCTTCAGGTTCAAGGGTGGGTACCTGGTAAAAAAATGGAAATCTGCACCAAATTGTGGTTCCTCTTTTTCCTGTAACAGCCAACTCATCACAACTACCTCTTCATGTGACTCAAGCAGTTGGGCATCCTATTAAAATCCATTCATACTGTGAACAATTTGCAGTTTTAGAAAGAAGTAGCATAGGAAGCATAAAAATATATACAAAATAACTTCAGCAGAGAAATCTACAGTGTTAGTGAGTTTTAGCTTAGCTGTCTAACTTTAAAATGTTTGAAAACAGCTACATAAGTGCTTCTGCCCCCCTGCTGTCAACAAACCCTCTGTAGATTTTTCTGAATCTTGAGAAAAGTGCATTCCTTTGCATTTACAGACACAAATGTAATGGACACAGAGAGAATTAATGCAACTCCCCAGGCTATTTTGATTTCTACAATCGTAGCACTGTTTTGCTGTTCAGCAAACCTGTATCTTTGACGGAGGCAGCAAAGTTATGACTGAGGCCTCAAGGACTGCTCATTCAATATTACTCATGGCATGTTATGCCTTATAAGGGATCAGCAAAGAAAGGGTTGGATCTGTGTAACAACTCCAGAGTTGTTTAACTCTGCCCTTAGCTCAACTTCTCATGAAAAGAAAATTTTTAATCTGGAAACCTAGAGGGTGTATTTTGAGGAGTTAGAGAATTTGGTAATATCTGCTCTATAATGTTTAAAGATGGAAATATATCACACACACAATGAGAATGGTGTTCCTGCTTTATCCCTTAGCTCACGGGTCTTCAAACTTGGCCCTTTTATGACTTGTGGACTTCAACTCCCAGAATTCCTCAGCCAGCAACGCTGGGAGTTGAAGTCTACAAGTCATAAAAGGGCCAAGTTTGAACACCCCTGCCTTAGCTATTAAAACTATTACAGTATATCTGACTACTTTAGTCTAGCTACCCCTGGTTCAATGCCTTCAGTTGTGTTGGAATTGCATCTCTCCAACTTGCAGCTAGCAAGATCAAAGACACATCTGGAGAATACCAGCTAGGCAGATCTAGATTCTGCAAGGAAATGACCTTGGGCAAAAGTTTTCTGTGCTTGGAGTTACTTTTCTAGGATTCCTTATTCCAGTCAAGGAATAGGAAGGAAATGCTATTTGCAAAAACTCTTAGTTTCTTTCACAGTTGTTGCAAGAAGCCAGAAAGGACTAGTTTTTTTTTTTAAATAGTGAAGTGAGCAGAATGTTATTGTTCCAGAAAGAGATGTGAAAGAGTTAAACTACATTTCTTGCACCATTTTTTTTTAGCCCTGAATTAAAGCCTCCGAATTTGCTTGTCAGTAAAGAGCAGGGGTCTTCAAACTTGGCCCTTTTATGACTTGTGGACTTCAACTCCCAGAATTCCTCAGCCAGCATGCCACAAGTCATAAAAGGGCCAAGTTTGAAGACCCCTGGTAAAGAGCAAAGAAGAAAGAGAACCTTTGGGAGAAAAACACATAGAAATACTGTATGCATGATTAATAGCTTGGTTCTAAAAACATTAGGAAGTAGGCAATTGCTAGGAACATTCTTTTAAGACAGAGACATTTTCCTATGAAATTGATCAGATTTCATATCTGTTTCCCCTTCCTCTGAACATGTGTTTTTTATTGCTTATCTCACTTATATTTCAAAGATTGTCTCTCAAACATTGGGAAGTTTTGAAATCCCCAGGTGCACCAAACAGATTCGTAATCCGTGACTTTTGACTTTCTGTTAACAAATTAAAGCAGCACAAAATTAAAACTTCCTTTATGGTCAGATTTCAAACTTGAATGGCCAAGTCCCAGGACAGACATAGTTCTCTCCATTTGTATATTTGTAATGGATGCACAAAGGCCGGTGTCAAAACTTGCACATTTATGTCCCCTTTAACATTAACCAATGGAACAACCTGCCTCCAGAAGCAGTGAATGCTCCAACACTGAAAGTTTTTAAGAAGAGACTGGACAGCCATTTGTCCGAAATGGTGTAGGATTTCCTGCCTGAGCAGAGGGTTGGACTCGATGACCTCCAAGGTCCCTTCCAACTTTATTATTACTACTACTACTACTACAACTACTACTACTACTACTACTACTACTACTATTATTATTATTATTATTATTATTATTATTATTATTATTATTATTATTATGGATCATCGCACAGTCAGCCAGATGTTCAGACTGGATTTGGCATTTTGTCTACCTATCGAGTCCTTACCCAGGACCTGGGATAGGCAGATGTGGATGTTAACAAGGTCCGCGCTAGATATTGGAGTTCCTGGATATCTGGTGAAAAATGGGTTACAGGACTCAGGACTGTTGGCTGAGCAACCAGGGCCAACAGCTGCAGAACTACTGGAAGAAAAGGTGTTTACCCGTCGCAGATACACAGTGATTGAAAACAAAGAAATAATGATCTGTTACTACAGATCAAGTCCAACAAGAATAATAATAATAATAATAATAATAATAATAATAATAATAATAATAATAATAATAATTATTATTATTATTATTATTATTATTATTATTATTATATAAGGAATACTCAGACCTACCTAGGATCAATGCCACATCCCTGTGATATGAGAATGCTGTAGAACATTCTGAAGCGATTGCCAGCTGAGATTATTAATTTACAGCTTAGTTGTTATCCCATAACAAATGCTTCAAAGGCAATTTCATAGCTTTTTCTCTGGGTGCTCCATTGCTCTGCCTTCCACCTTCTTGAATTTTCCCCTCCTGAAGCCAACATGCTGTAGTGGCCTGTCACCCCTTCTCCACATTTTCTTTAAGAATGATTTTAAAAGCAGATTTGTTGTTGCTTTCACAAAGCTGTCATTTTTATTCCCTCCCCATAGATGCAAATACAAAGGAAAAATGAGATTGGGAGCAATAGGATGCAGGCGGGAACATTGATTTCCTTGTAATTTCCATACTTCTCTGTCTTCTTTGATTCCAGTTCTAGGTAGCAGAGATAGGAATGCTAACAAAGACACAAGTGATTTTTTTTATCATTTGTGTGGTGAAACTGAGACAGTGCCTTAAACAGAAGAAAAAGTTGTGGCATTATTTATTTATTAGATTTTTATCCAACTTTTATTACTTTATATATAATTCAAGGCAGGGAGCATCCCTAATATTCCCTCCTCCTCCTATTTTTCCCACAACAACAACAACCCTCTGTGGCGAATTGGGTTGACAGAGAGTGATTGGCCCAAAATCACCCAGCAGGCTTTCATGCCTAAAGTGGGTTTACAACTCACAATCTCCTGATTTCTAGACCACCTCCTTAACCACTACACCAAACCGACTCTCACTATTGTAGAGATTGAAATCATTAAGGAGGCCCTATCATGGGACAAGCTTTACCATTCTTGCATTATCACAGAGGTGACCAGTTGCAAGCCATTCTTGTTTGATCAGTCCTTTTCCATTTTGCCTATATGCAAAAGCCAAGCCTGGCTGGATTAGATTAGTGCTTGAATTGGAGAATATCAAGAGATCTCAGTAGGTCAGTCTGGAAAATAAAATAAAAAAATTCTGGAAGAAGGCAATAGTAACAAACTTCTCCAAGTAGCTCTTTTTTAGATGTCAGTTGTCATTAATGAGGTTATTAGAAAACATCAATACTTTTTATTGCTGCAAAAAATGAAACAATATCTTCATTTCTTCTTTTTCCTCCTCCTTAGCTGGGCTCTGAGTGGACTGCTCCAGGAGAATTCACAAAATTTAGCTCTCAAGTCTCGAAGCCAATCCGGTAGGTGTTACTGCCATGTCCTTCCATTTTTCATTTTGACGGATAGACTGACCCTAAGAATTAAAGGAAGAATAATTCACTACTTTTGAAACTGACAAAGGAGAGAGCAGCCAAGTCATGAAGTGGAAGAATGGCTTTTCATTTTTCTTCAGGCTGGTTTGTTTTTGCTTTAATTCTCTCTGCTAAAACCTGTGGAAGTGGAGATTACTGTAGCCCCAAGAGTGCATACTCCATGGGCTCAATCTGAAATCATATAACAGAGGTAAGTTGAACTTTTGAACTGATAAGTGCAAGGCCAGCCGCAGAGCATTCTGTTTCGGTTCCTGTTGCTGATGGGAAGATTTTCTATGGAGAGCATTGGGATCTCCAGAACAGATTCAACCCAGCAGAGAATCTTACTCTCTTTCTTCAACCACTCTTCTGAATTTCCAATTTTCTCACAGTCCCTTATTCAGGCCTCTAGGAACTGATGCTTGAAGGTTCTAAAGGAGTCTGTTCAAAGGACTCTTCCCAACAAGTCATGCAAAGAGCATATTGCAGAAAGACGTCACATATATTTCGGTATGCTTATATCAGAGTCGGTGTAATCTGCCCCCACCTAACTTCTGTACTGAATTAGATCCATGAGATGGATAGAACTGGTCAGTTGAAGCCAGTGATGGGATTCAAATTTGTGAACAACCAGTTCTCTGTGTGGATGCCACTTCCAGAAGTCCATTCTGGGCCTGTACACCAAAAAATTAGCTATAGGTTCTGCCGAAGTGGTGCAAACCGGCTGAATCCCACCACTGGTTGAAGCCCTTGCCCCAAAACAGTTGCTCTGAACTTCCTGCCTGGCCAAGTAGAATAATGACCTCCACACTGGAGGTGTGGTTGAAATGGGGGTGACCTTGCTTTTTTCAAAGAGCTTACAAATTCACAAATATCAGGTGGTCATGCACCATGTAATTCCATATTGAGAAGTAACATATTGGGTATTAAGGAAGGGTTGACTGTTTAGAAGAAACAGGATGCTGAGTAATAGCTATGAAAATATATTGAGGCAAGCAGGGAGTCTGCAGCAAAGTAGGATGAGTTATGGCAAGCCCTTCCCTTACATACCTGTGTGGTGACCCCATTGTGGGGCAATAGCACAATAATAGCATTGGGCTTACTTAATGCTACAAAACCACATCTTGCTCTTTTCTTGCCAGTTAACCAGCCTAGTGAGTTCTTTTTTGCTGGTAATTGCCAACTGCCAACTGAAAGCAGAGCAGCAACTGACCTGGTTTCTGTTGTTTGTTTTGCTAACAGCAAACAACTAAAGTGCCATTTTTATATTATTATTATTATTATTATGGTTAGTCACACAGTCAGCCAGAGGCTTAGACTGGCTTTGCATTTTTGATGGTGTTTAAATGCTGATGATGTTTAACTGATGCTCCAAATATTTTAGTACTGCACCCAAGATGCCTATCACTATTGGTACTATCTTTGCTTTATTTTGCCATAGTCATTCTATTTGCAGATCTTTTTATTTTGTGACTTATTATTATTTAATTTTCTGAATATTGAGTTGTCAGTTGACTTCAGTGACTGTACATGGTTAACTTTAGATCCAGCTTTCCTGTTTTAATCCAAGATCAAAAAGCAATTTGCTATGTTCTCACAACATTGTAGTTCCGATCAAATAAATCACAGCACAACTTAACATAATGGTCTTGCTTACATGATGTGCTAAAATTGTACCTAAACTCCAACAAACATTGAACCATAAACTGCCCATCCTCATTTTAACTTGTACAAACCGAGGCTGTTCTGTATCTTCTCTTTTTTCTTTACTGTCTTCTGTTCTCCCCCTGGTTTATGCAAAGGCTGGTCACTTTGAAGCTAAGCTACTTTCTGTCAAATTAGAAGTCTGTCAGCTTCATTCTTGTTGTTTTTATTTTTCTTTGAATGCAGCTGGCAACTCTCTTATGACCGCATCTTCTTTTGCCCCATCAGTTTATTGTCAAGCTGGATCTCTCTTGGCATTTTGCTGAAGAGGTGTTTCCCTTATACACAAAATTGTTTTCTCTTGTTTTGTATCCTGTCAACAGAAAAGCATATAGGCCATTTGAGTAATTGAGAGTCCTTAGAAGGTATTTGTTCTGATTCATACAGAATTTTCAGTACTGGAGCTGCAGAATCTCTTGGAAATGACTGTCTCTTCTTAATTTCAATACAATACATTGGTTTTTTTGCCAGGAGGGTCCTCCTAAGCAGCAGACTGCCCATTCATGATATTGTGAGTTTATGCTCTTTTAACACATATAATTCCTTTGTCCTTTCCATGCAGTAAAGGATTATTTCGCAAATAATTGTAATGACATGAAAGTAATATTTTAATAGATCTCTGTGAAGGTTACCATTTTTTTTCTGGAAGTCATAGTCTATGCACTGGTTTCATTTCCCCCTAACTCCTAATATACTGTATAGTTGTCTTTTTTTCTCTTTTTTCTTTGTATAGCCTCTTTTTTCTTTGTATAGAGCTTATGTTATATCATCAAACTGGAGGTGAAGTGTGGGCCTTCCAGAGTTTCCTCACTAGGGTTGAGACACTAACATTTCCAAAGTAATAATGACGTGTGCTGAATGCTTATTGCTTTTCTCTGTTGCTAGAGGAGAGTGATGAGGACAGTCATTCGAATGCAGGAACAGAATATGAATGGACACACGTATGCCTAAAGAATAGAGGAGCTAAGATGAAGCTGACTACTGGCATGATGGAAATTTTCCAGCAGCAATACCATCATGTTGGTACTTAGTAGAATTTTTAAAATGTGAATCTTTCGATGATCTAGCACTGATTCATGCAGGGAGGAATATTAAAATAACAGCATGTACTTGTGTCACTAAACAATCTAAGCACTCAGCAGATCAAGAAACAAAGGCCAATATAGTTTTATCTCAGTTTCTCTGTTGGAGACATAGTGAGACTGAGAGTAATTCACTATTTCAACTCCAAAAAGCTATGGATTTAAGGTTCCCTTAAATCTTCCCCTGCCCAAAATTTCACCAGAAATAGGCAAGCTCTCTTGCTCTAGAGCAGTGGTTCTCAACCTTTTGAATACCGCGACCCCCCAACCGGTCGTAAGTCGAGGACTACTCAACCGGTCATAAGTCGAGGACTACTCAACTGGTGCAGCACCATTTGCAGAATGGGACTTTTGGCGGGCTCAGCAGGGCAGAGACAGCCTGGACAATTCCTATTGTCCTAGCCTCTATTCAAGAGAGTCTATTCTATTGGCTTTCAAAAGCCAATAGAATAAAAGGGAGTAGCACAGCTAAGGAAAAGGGGAAAAAAAATGGCGGACTGCGTTGCTTGGCGACCCCCGTGAAATGGTCGTTCGACCCCAAATGGGGTCCCGACCCACAGGTTGAGAACCACTGCTCTAGAGTTTGGGCCAGTCAAACCTTATTTTTTGAATGAGTTTGTTTTCCCTTTTCCATGTATCCCATTCTTGAAAACATCCCAGGTATGTGATATGGGTGTTCTCAAACCCCATGAGAAACAGGAATGACTAGAGCTTAACCCCAAAGTATTTGATCGTGAATTTTCTTGAAAGAACTAAAAAATAAATGCCTGTATTAGATATCTCTGAATATTACAAGGCAAAGTCAGGAGCAAGTTAGCAAAGGTATCTTATAGCCTTTCCATTATTAATAGCTCTTATACACTGCCCTATAGTGCTTTACAGCACTCTCTGAGTGGTTTACAAAGTCAGCATATTGCCCCAACAATCTGGGTCCTCAATTTACTGACCTCGGAAGGATGAGTCAACCTTAAGTCAGTCAGGAGCGAACTCCTGGCAAAGGGCAGAGTTAGCCTACAATACTGCATTTTAAACACTGCACCACCACAACTCTTAATGATTAATGATTCCTTATTTCTGTTCCTGGAAATGATTTGATACAATCCATACTTGAGAACTTGCTATATTTTAGTTCAATGTTTTTTTTCATTTTCTGGAAACTGTGACTTTAAATGGAAGGGTCCAACTTCTGTACATCTGACATTGGCTCACCAAAGGATATCCATGAGCTGTACAACATTTCTCCGGTCCCGTGGCTAGAGTTTTCAAACTGATGGGGGTGGGTGGGTAAGAATTGTTACTTTGCTGCAGATTGCCTTGCAGATGATTAGCTTGGGACAAAGTACTGTGGTAATCTAATTAAGGCCCAATGGAAAAAAGTGGAAGGGAAAGTTGGGCATCATTAGTACGGGCGACAATTGTTGGGACTTATTTCCATACCCAGTTCAATAAAACAGCTGACTGGAGACCAGCCAACTTTGATAGCAAGAAGTCTGTCTACCTCCAGGAATTCCCAGGGGAAATTAGAGGAGCTTTTTATCCTTGTTCAATTGAAATACAGCTATGATGAGCAGGACTCGACAGTGCTAGTTTACATGCCCTGCTTGTATGTATCAGTGTACACACACACAAACACATATATGGTATAAAAAGTGTCTATATGTCTACTTTGGGACATATTTTACAATATGTGTATGTTTTCTTTAATGGTGTTATTGTGAATCACCTCTGGCCCAGTGAGTGGAGGAATGTTTTTTTTTTAAAATCCTTTAAATAAAATGAAATAAATACATTTGCATGATTTTCCTAATCTACAACTTTTCTTTGCGGCTTTGTTCCCAGGCCTTATTGAGCTCCATCACTGAATCCCTCTGCCGGATCACATAAACTTCCTTTATTCAAGTCTTAGCCAGAAATATACTTGGAATGATTTTTCCTCTTAGGCTGCAAGTGTTACACTACCCTTATTTATTTTAAAAAACCAAATGCATATTCCATGCTTTCACTAGCAACTGACCATGTAATATGTAATAGTAGTAAAGTTGGAAGGGACCTTGGAGGTCATCTAGTCCAACCCCCTGCTCAGGCAGGAAACCCTAGACCATTTCGGACAAATGGCTGTCCAGTCTCTTCTTAAAAACTTCCAGTGATCTGTAATCTTAGAAA